GAAAGATTTTATTTATTTGACAGAGACAGCGAGCCCAAGCAGGGGGAGCGGCAGGCAGAAGGAGAAGCAGGCTCCCCACCGAGCAGGGAGCCCGACGCGGGGCTCGATCCCAGGGCCCGGGGATCATGACCGGAGCCGAAGGCAGACGCTTAACCAGCCGAGCCACCCAGGCGCCCCTAAATATTTTCTATATATGAACCTATTCTTTCATATGAATGAATAAGGCCCCAAAGCATTTGATTAGTTAAATGAATCTAGGAATGATTTTATTTTTTAAATTTCTTTGAAATTTTTAAATTTCTTTGAAATTTTTAAATTTTTTTGAAATTTTAACTGTTCATAGGCCTGTTGCCTTCAGATTTCAAAAAGTGCCTTTTCACAAAATTATGGTCTTTTTTTCCCTCCCATTACTATGGAGTTGATAGTTTAGAATGATTTTAAAATGACCTGATACTCATTCAGTCTTTAAGAGTCTGTAGCTTGCTTTCCCTGACAAGAAACTCACATGCTTCAATAGTGTCAGAAGCAGTCGGATGATAGGAAGTGTACGACAAACCATTTTAAATGGCCCCCTACAAGTGGAGATGAAGAGTTCACTTATTGGAGACCACCCTTCCATTGGTAGATGTGGGAAGTGAGATCTCCCATGTACTTTCCTCAAAGACCACCAACCTGAATCCCAAGAGAAAGTAGTTTTTTAGACTTCTAGTTCTTGTTTTCAAAAAAGATTTTTTTCACATTCTTATTTCACTCTCCAACTCTTGCTTTACATTCTGTTACATGCTAAACTTCATGAACAGTTGGGTCTGGTTAGAGAATATAACAGTTACCTTTTAAAGAAAAGGGAGGCAGAGACGTTTTCTGAATACCTGCAAGTGGGATACCCGACGGTAGAGCGTGTTAATGACCATTGAACCCCCACAACAGACCTTTGAGTAATCGACTCAAGAGTAATTTACTCATTAGGAACACTTCCAAAACATTGGCTATAGATCAAAAATTAAGAATGTTGGGGCGCCTGGGCGGCTCAGTCGTGAAGCGTCTGCCTTCAGCTCAGGTCATGATCCCGGGGTCCTGGGATCGAGCCCCGCGTCGGGCTCCCTGCTCAGTGAGGAGCCTGCTTCTCCCTCTCCCTCTGCTGTTCCCCCTGCTTGTGCTCTCTCGCTCTCTGACAAATAAATAAATAAAAATCTTTAAAAAAAAGTTACACAACAAACCACATTTTCCCAAAGCATTTAAATGTGTTTCTATGAAAAAAAAAAAAAAGGCACCTGGGTGGCTCGGTCGGTTAAGCGTCTGCCTTCGGCTCAGGTCATGGTCCCAGGGTCCTGGGATCGAGCCCCGCATCGGGCTCCCTGCTCGGCGGGAAGCCTGCTTCTCCCTCTGCCACTCCCCCTGCTTGTGTTCCTGCTCTCGCTGTCTCTCTCTCTCTCAAATAAATAAAATCTTAAAAAAAAAAATGTGTTTCTATGGAAGATCTAGAAGTTAACCTTAACAAGACTTCTCATCCTCTTTGTTCAGCTCTTGATAGATAAGCAGAGCTCAAAAAATATGGGCATCCATCTTCCTCCTGTTGTGCAACAGATACTTTTGAAATAGATCTTACTGTTTATTTCCCCAGCCTTACCATACTCGTCCCTGACATTATTTTATAATAGCTAACACTTTTACTGAATGTGACATATCAAGTATTGTTCTGACTCCTTTTTGACATTTATTCTTGATCAGTAGTGAACTTTCTTCTTTCTCTTTCTCTTTTTCTTTTTCTTTCTTTCTTTCTTTCTTTCTTTCTTTCTTTCTTTTTCTTTCTTTCTTTCTTTTTCTTTCTTTCTTTCTTTCTTTCTTTCTTT